AAAAATGTGAATCACCTACAATTTAATTGAAATTACAATCCTGTTTATAGTACCAATGTGTATGTATTATGGCCATGCACGTGGTCACTTTTTGCGATAGTTTTTGGATATCCAAAAAATTAAACTTTCGCTTTGTCTGCTGAATCAAGATCAATGTTTCAAACGTGGCGACGGCTGAAGCAAAGCGAGAATAGACTTGCGCAAAAGCACTTTCATATTGTTCCTTCTCGTCGTTGTAGAAGAAATTCAGTTTTAAGCCCTTTTTTGGGCATATCTCGAAATCGAGGCGTGCGCAATTATGCACAGCAGCTTGTGTTTCCACTTCATAGTTCAGAGAGTTCTTGGTCCTCTTTCGCTTTCTATAATTTATGTGCTTTTGTAGTAGATATGAGATGGGATTAGGTATCATAGAAGTCGCCACTTTTGAAGTTTTTTGAAATTTATTATTTTTTCTAAAATCAACAACATCTTTATTTGCACCATATCAACAGCAGATTGTTTTTGTCATAGATGTGAGTTGTTGTTGATAATAATCGTACTGACCCTTTCTTTTAAAGAAAACAAAGTTGAGTGAACCCTTGCACTCCAAAAAACTATGGTGTTGTAAATGGAATTTCGCAACCTTTGGAGGTTTCTGGAATTGTTTAAGCAGTCAACCAAGAATGTTATAATTCTCCTTAACGTTTGAGCTGTAAGGTTCCTCGAAAACATATGCTGACAATATTTGTGATTTTAATTCAATATTTGACTGTCACCACTGCACTAGTTCCTTCCACCAGAGAAACATTCAACTAAACATGATCTATGAAGAAATTTTTACTAAGGGAGAGCCAAAAACGGGCAGAGAATGCGCTATAAACGATCAGATGATCCACGATCGCTCTTCGTTTATTATGAGCGCAACGTGCAAGGCGGGAAATTGCGTAAAAGAATGTTTTGTGTTACGCGATGTGAAGCGAAAGCTTTGTACTTACGGAAGTTTATGGGTGAGGAGAGGGGCGTTCGTAAACAAGTGCTAAGGTCATCCGGTCAGAGACAGCTGCGCGATGACCCTGGCACTTTGGTGCAGCGCCCATCGCTTGCAAACTTCTGAGTAGTTCACCTCAGCACTTCAACGTTTATTTACGTCCATCGCCTTTTCTCCGTATTACAGCGTTTAAAGTTCGTTCGTACGCTATTTTCCCTTTTCATTGCCGCTTGTTTTGTCCTGTACGCGATTACTCTTCGATTTTACTACTGCGTACAATTCAAAAATTTCCGTGACTTTGCCATCTTTTGGACATTCAAATGACCTTCATATTCAAAGAAGAAAAATCAAAACCTGTTCTGAATTATCAACTGATGAAATTTTCATCCAACAAAAACTGTTAATTGAAAAGTTTATCTTTTTTGTGCAATTTCGCTATTGTTTCGCATTGAAGATAGAAAAGTGAGGAACAGAATTTATCGAACCTCCTAGTAGCTGAGCACACTTTGCACTGAACACTACAAAAACGATGCCCCGTTTGAATGACCCAAACCTAACAACAATGAAACTTTCTTTGAGACCAGTATCAAAGAAAGAATGAAACAAAAAAT